AACGCCAGAAAAGCCCACACTAACAAAATCAAGAAATTCCGGCAATGGATCCCAAATCGGCGTGCTGGTGAAGCGGGGGTTTAGAGGGCAGTGTGGGGGCGAAGAGAACAACATCGATTCACCTAGTCCAGGCCGTGCTGGCAACGGGATTCGGGGCGGAGACGACGCGCAACCGCCTGGATCTGTTCCAGCGTGAGCTCGGCCTCGTCGACAGTATACGGCATGGTGGCCTGGCGGTGGCCTTCGATTTGGTCCAGCACGGCGGCCTGGCGGTGGCCTTTGATTTTGTTCAGGTCGTTCCAGAGGCGCTCAACTGTCTCCCCTTGAATGTGGCCGAGCAGCGCGATGCTCCCATTGTCGGTGGAACTGGGGTTGTACGCCCACACGTGCTCGGCCTCGGCGGAGCCCTCTTCGAAAGCTGAGGCGTGGCCGCGAGCGATGACCACCTTGGTGTCGAATTTTTCGTCGTAGAGCGGGGGTGGGGTTTGCAACTCAGCACGTTCGAGGTTGTCCCAGGTGGAATTAATCAAGGCGAGGGAGTATTTGTTGGCCTTGTGCAAATGGCGCTGAATGGTGTACTCATGGATTTTTTGCCAACGTCCAATCCGCTCGAAATAACTGTTCGCAAGGAGCAGGTCCTCTTCCGCCTCCTTTGCAGCGTTTTGTTGGGCGGTGGTGAGACTGCAATTTGTTATGATCAGCCAAGGTTTCCTCACGACGACAACGCCTACTGACGGTTGTGCGTTCAGACGGGTGGACATGGTTTGGGGGTAAGACGCGATCCGTTGCCAGAAAATCGATGATAGCTGATTTAAAAAGCATATACAGTTCCATGACTTTCGACCGCCGCCGCCGCCACTGACCCTCCGTTGAAACGTGCAGACGGCTTGTGAGTCAAGCCTTCAAAGTTTAAGCAACACGAGGGTTAATCAAGATTTTTGCAAGATTTTCTCTAGGCTAGCTAGGTGTGGACAGACCCACACTGGGCATATGCTGTCATTTACTGGGCTTGGAAATTGACAGTAAATCCAAGGCAAATTTATCATTTGCCGGAAATACCCCCATTATTTACACTCTTGGGATTTAGTGAGCAAATGAGGTATTTGCAGCCTGTTTCCACAACAATTGCCTGCTATGCAAATACTCTATGTCCCAGCTATTTACATCATAGTTGCCTGTAAAATCCGGAGCCTGTAAATTATCAATTTGCCGATGATGTAAAAACAGGGGAAATAATGGTGCCAAACAACAAACACCTTCCACAAAGAGTAATATTGCATCACCAAAAGGAGCAATTACTTCCCTGCATCAGCACCTGACTCCTGGGGCCCAACAATCATGAGATCCAAATCTACTTGGAAGGCTGTGCATTCTGAATCTACTACAATGTTGACTGTATATTAGAGTAACCCAGGGATTGATTGAATGTGTTTTTTGTACTCAGCAATGCCTGCATCTCAGTCTGACAATGGTGTTATTTTACATCAGTTAATCTTCTATCTTCCTGTGTTTTATCTAAAACACAAAAAAAGAATGCTCCTTGTGTGGATTGAACCTCCACCACTATATGCTCCAAGCTTAGTCATGCTCAGAATCTGACCATTACTCAGCTTTTGACGAGAATTCATTCAAACAAAAACCACATTTTTGTTGATGTAAAATTGCACTGCTTGCGCTTAGGTCAGCTGCCACTGTTTTAGCTGACCTAAGTCATGACTCAGCTTTTGACAAGAATTCATTCAAACAAAACAACATTTTTGTTGATGTAAAATAGCACCATTGTCAGACTGAGATGCAAGCATTTTGATTTTGATTTGATTTTGATTTTGAATTTCAGTTTTGTAACTACATGGAGCCTGGTGGCTAAGGTAGCTGTACGGATGGGGGGTTACGAAGGTATTTGTGACGGTGTTTGTAAGGGTGGTTCGCTTTATATGTAAGAAAGAGAGCGAGAGAGAAAGTGATGTCAAGTTGGTAAAAGGTTTGTTGTAAGGACTTTCGAGCGATGAGATGAGGTATTCGTTTTGGTAAGGGATGGGTATTCTGGAGCGGGGGTATGATGGATGTGGAAATATAGAGACGAGTCGATGTAAATAAATATAGATAGCGAGATAGCGGAAAAATAGCAAAAGTAAAACTCAGCGGAGTTGGTTGTTGAATCTTGCTGACGCTTCAATGAATACGCCAACAGCCTTGAGGGTCTTGGGCTCAGATAGCAGCGTTGCGACATGTAGGGCTCCGAAGTGGCCGGCCTTCTTCGCTGCGTCGTGAAGGGGTTGACGGAGTGGTTCGAGGACGGGACACTGGAGGAGGAAATGTGCGCGTGTTTCGAATGGCTCCCCACACGCCTCGCACGCCGGGGAATCCGTGAAGCCAGATTTGTGGCGATGGGCGTTAAGGTGAGAGGGCCCCGTGCGCAGGCGCGAGATTGCTGAGATAGTTTTCCTCGGGAGCTTGGGGGATGTGTAGAGGGCGGATAATTTGAGCGACGGAGGTGACTTGTCGATGGAGCGTAGGGATTGACCGGCTTTGGAACGCGCCCAGATATTGCGCCATTTCTCCAGAACTTGGAGGCGGATCATCCTTTGCACGGTGGTGAGCGAGACGAACAGGCTTGGGTCAGCTTCCATCTCGGTTGCCGCCTTTGCCGCTGCATCTGCGAGCTCATTCCCAGCCGTCCCGATGTGTGCAGGCGTCCAGAGGTTCGTGATGGTCAGGTGTGGAAGGTGGGCTTGTGCTGAGCGGAGGAGTCTGTCGTATTGGATCGCTCGGAATTGGCCTGAGCGTGGTGCGGTTGACAGGATGCCGCGGAGTGCCGCTTGCGAGTCGGCAATGCACAGGATCTGCGCATGTCCCGCTTGAATCGCACGCTCTGTCGCCCTCACGAGTCCCTCCATCTCCCCTTTGCACACCTGCCCCAACCCCAATGGCACCATCACTTTCTCCACCTCCACCCTATCCTCCACCCTCACCGCCGCTCCCCCTGCGCGGCTGCCCAGCAACGACCCGTCCGTGTACCATGTCGACTTCGCCACTCGCCCGTCCTTCAACGCGTACTCGAGCGCCTGAATTGCACTCTCCTTCGGCGTGATGGTGGTGAAGACGGGGAGCGGGTCATTCCATGGCGGGGCGTAGACTGGCTGGATTGCTGAGTACAAAAAACACATTCAATCAATCCCTGGGTTACTCTAATATATACAGTCAACATTGTAGTAGATTCAGAATGCACAGCCTTCCAAGTAGATCTGGATCTCATGATCGTTGGGGCCCAGGAGTCAGGTGCTGATGCAGGGAAGTAATTGCTCCTTTTGGTAATGCAATATTACTCTTTATGGAAGGTGTTTGTTGTTTGGCACCATTATTTCCCCTGTTTTTACATTATCGGCAAATTGATAATTTACAGGCTCCGGATTTTACAGGCAATTATGATGTAAATAGCTGGGATATAGAGTATTTGCATAGCAGGCAATTGTTGTGGAAACAGGCTGCAAATATCCCATTTGCTCACTAAATCCCAAGAGTGTAAATAATGGGGGTATTTCCAGCAAATGATAAATTTGCCTTGGATTTACTGTCAATTTCCAGGCCCAGTAAATGACAGCATGTGCCCAGTGATAGGTCTAAGTGTACAATTTGGATTATATGTACAATTCGTAGTTATTTTTCGGCGAGACAAGGCGAGCTAGTAGATTGGGCGTTTAATTCAGTACGGTATGCAAATCAGGAGAACCAACACCGAGGCAAAGCAAAGGAATGACGCTCACTGGCCCGCGTTCGCGCGGTCCGCTTCGAAGAGTGCCACGACCTCGGCGAGCGATGCAACGATTGTCATGGGCGCCGGATGTGCCCGTCTCGCCTCCTCGGCCTCCTCCCTGTATAACGGAGTTCAATCAGCCCAGGGTGTCGAGCCAAAGGCAAAAAAAAAAGGGCTAACAGGGTGAAGCATACTCTGCCGTCTGAGAAATAGAAGTAGGTCGACGTGTCAACCGCCGGCGCGCTGCTAAAGACGGCCTTGGCGGCGTTGCGGCCCTTTCCAGTGTTGGGGGCCTTCGCGGCCTTGGGGGCCGTCGTGGCGTCGGCCGCCTTGGCGTGACGGTCAGGGCGCGCGTGCTTGTGCCCCTCGGTTGGCCCGTGCTGGGTCTGCTTGGTGCTGTGCGGGCTGGTCGGGCTCGAAGGCGCCGACTGGGACGATCGCGCGTGCTTGGCCTGGGTCCCCTTGCTGCTCGAAGACGTCGAGTGGGAGCTGATGGTGTCCGGAGGCGCCGATGGGGACGACCACACATCGCCCTCATAATATTTATACTCAAAGGGAGAGCCCATGCGGAGGTTCAGCAGGTCGAGTTTCGAGCGCGCATCATGGTCTGATGGATCGTAAACGAGCAGGTCCTGCAGCTTCGTCGGGGGCTGGATCTGCTTGATCTTCGTTCTCTGGGTGGGGCTGATGGGATGGTTGTGCTGCGCGATACAGAATTTATATTGCGCGCGGGCCAGAGCCAGCACCCCATCGTGCTTCGAGATTTTGTCCTCGTTGTCATCATCGTCGATCTGGTAGTTGGGGTCCCTGAGCTCTTTGAGGTAGCTTGCCAATGACAAGCTACCATTGGGTGAGGGGGTGCTTTGCAGTATTCCAGTGATCAAGTGCACATACCGGTCGCTGAAAACGCCTGGTCTACGGGGATGCTTCAGCAGATGCCAGTGGCGCCTTTTATTGCGGTCGTGGGTCGCCAGATCCGTGAAACCTTTGTGGGTGTGCAGCGGCAGCGCACAAGCAAATGTGCCATTGTTGTCGGCGGAGGGAGGACGAGACGGATAAGAAACCCTGGTACGAGTGTGTGTTCCCGTTTTTCCCATGAGTGCATATAGTAGCGGAATGCAGAAGTATAGTAAAGAGGAACGCACTGCAGCCGAAAAAATAAATAAAAACAAATGCAAAACAAAAAGAGGTCCGGAATGAGAATTGGTGACGTGATGGCATTTCCTTTTTAAGGAAAAAACCATATTGGCCTAACCTCGAGTCGAACGAAGATTTCGCGCTTATCCGTTGTATGCATGCAATCTAAGCACGCGCACTAACCATTGTGCTACTAGGCCATGGACCACCAAGCCCTATTTCACTCTAAACCCTAGTCCCTTTTCCTTCTTCTTTTATGTTGAGCTAACCCAGCGCTTTTTCCTTAGTTAATGTCAACAACGACAAACAGCATCGCAAGGCCACGGACCCGCAGCGCGCAGCACTCTCTCTGTAAGGGTTCATGTGCTCTCGGACCTTTACTCATATATTTTCCCTTACTTTTCAAAAGTCTCAATTCGAATTATGTTTACATGTGTTATCTTCGGTAGATTTCGGGCTTACTGCTCCGTGATAGGAATCTATCTACACTTACACCAAAACCTGTCCCAACTTCAAGCTCGACTTGCCTCCACCACTCGTTGATACGTTCCGAGTCCGTGATAGAGGCCAGAGCCTACGTTGATACAGGAAATCTACGAATATCACGACTTAACGCGAATACTAACGATTCTTAACGATAGCTATACGACTCGACGTGTAACCTCTCTCATCGTGAATATTCGCGTGGGATTAGACTTTAACTGCTCGAGAGCCTGGATATCCGACTCCGGGTTAAAGTCTTTAAGAGTGGACCGTTAGTTTAGGTCCCTACCACAGTATATGGAATACACGAGCTCACTGGTCTTATTCAATCAACGTTCTTTTGTGAGGAGTCTAACGGACCCTTACAAAGTGGACAAACTGGGAACGTTGACGTCCCAGTCGGCTTGTGTTTACTATTCATCGACAGTCAAAACCCTTGCGAGGAGCTTATCGCCCTCGTACGTATTCATCGACCTACCTGGATTCTGTCCAATCCCGGTTGCTCGCGCCGACGGCGTCGTCCTCGGCTAGAGCAATTAAAAGAGAGTCTATTGCTTCGGCTAGCACCCTCAAGGGAGCTGCTGTGTCGAGGTCTAAATCTACGTCTCGATCATTATCCCCCGACAAATCTAAGTCGGCCACGTCCACTCCCGCAGTTACCCGCTCGCATACACGAGTTCAGCGGACTGTGTCAGAGAGCGCCGCCCAACCCGACCTCGACGAGGTGTTGTCTTCATCGTTGTCATCACCTCCGTCATCGGATCCTTCGCCTCCAACGCGCGTGCGCGCGTTATCTCCTCGCGCGCTGTCCCTCCAAGGTCCCTCGTCGTTCTCGATATTCCCCCCTCTCACTTCGATCAACTCCATGGACACTCCTGCCATCGAAATCGTGCCAAACACGGGTTCTCATGTAGAGACGGCAACTACTCGTTCGGGCCAGACCTCGGCGGAGCGCGAAGGCGACCCTACGCCGGACCGGGTGATGCAGCGAGGCATGGAAAGGGGCTACGCAATGTCGGAAATGGTGGACCTGCATAGAGAATTTCACGAGGATCAGGAGATGGACACTTCAGTAGCGGTCAGGACCAACCTATTGGCTAGCAAAAACACCCTCGACCGAGAGGATATCATCGATCGAGGAGTCGCTCTACTGAACGCTCGGACCGGCAAAAGGTTTGCTCTGGAATCAGGTTTCTTCCTGAGAACGGAGCGTACAATCAACGAGATGCAGTACTTGTTAGAACGAGCAGCGGATTTGGTAGACGGACGTACAAATCGCTTCCAAATAGACCCCTTCAAGTCACTCTCCAAAGTCTTGAGGAACGCCAACGACTTGAACGAACTGCACGTCGCTTGGTTAGCGCTTAGCACTCGGATGGGATTGGCGTTGAGGAATCTGGATAAGTATGAGTCTGAGTACGCTGCGATCAAGGAATCGGATGTGCTGCTCTCACCGCTCTCCACTAACCCCGAAGTCTACGAGGTTTTTCCCCGCAATAGGTCTGACATCTCCGACGTCAATTACCTGTACAATCATGTCCCGCATTTGCAAGAGCTTTGCCCGACGATGTATGATTCTAAAGTGGAGTGGCTCCCCGACAAACTACAAGCCCCGGCGTATCTTGCTAGGGCTTTCCCTCATCGATCTCCAGAAGAACGGCCAGCGGTCGTCTCGTACACGCAAGAGGGTGAGAGGAGAGAGATCGCCCTTCCTCTCACGACCAGCCGTGGATTGGGAGCCGGATTTCGACCACCTCCGCTCGAAACAGAGCGGAGCAGACGCGCCTCCAAGGAAGACGACACCCAGGAAGTAGCTCCTAGAGTCGGAACCCCGTCGCTGGACGTGCACATCAATCTTCCCGCGGGTTGGAATCCCGCGACCGCGAAACCAGGGCTAATGAGCGCATACACAGCGTACAAGGACCCTAACCTGTTCTTCGTGCCGAAGTCCCCCAGGGATGAAACGCGTCACCACGTCTCAATCCCGGGTCCGAATTTGCCGAACCCTATCTTAGGTATGGCTTCGACACCGCCTGTAGACTCTATCAGCCAGGCTAGCCCAAGAGCAAACCTCGACGCACCTTTCATCAATCGTCCTTCTACTCCGCGGCCCCGAATGGTTCTGGAGAAAGTTCGAGAGGTTGACGAGGTACGGTTCCATGAGGCTCGGCAACGCACGGACCCTCTACCCCATCTCCACGCACGGAGGGATCTCCCTTCAGCTTCAGGGGATGAACGCGCGCCTCGGAGGGACCACAGTCCTAACGATCCGGACAAGTATGGCTCTCCTTCGCCGAGTCAGCCTCGCGGGGCGTACGCCCCGGCACCCGTCCCTCCGGAGGCGCCAAGCGCCCCGGGAGGCGATCCTTCAGACGATTCGAGCGATTCGGATGGACCTTCTAGTCAACACTCCAGACATACGCCCCCTCCTCGTCGACGTCGCAGACCGCGTCCTCGTCGTGACTGGACTCCACCTCCGCCTCCGGATCCTCCTGGCGGAGGAGGCGGCGGCGGCGGTAACGGTGGCGGTGGGGGTAACGACGGCGGTGGAGGACACCCTGGCGGGGGAGGGAATCAACCTTTCCCCTACGTCGCTCCTGGCGCTCCGAGCCGTAGAAGTAAGATTTAGCCTAAATGGGGTGGCTGTAGCCATAGCGTCGGTTGTCTTCCTGCACGAACCTAGCCAGGGGGATGGCTACGGCCAGGAATGAGGTTTCCTAGCAGTCAAAATGCAAAATAGATTAATTGGACTGGGGATTGAACCGGCAACCTATTGGGTTCGGTATTTTTTTCACAATGCTAGTACTAACCACTATACTAAAGGGCCCTTAAGATTGCTTGTTTACTTCTGGATACAGTAATGCTTCCAACCCTAACAATTTAAGCAAAAACCCTAACCAAACTAATTGTACAAACCCTAACCAACAAGACATTATATATCCCTAGGGACCCTGACCTTAACTAACCCTAACCTTAACCCCTAACCCTGACCCTAACCTCTAACCTCTAACCAGTGGCCCTATGCAGGCCATAATAGGCAGGGTTACAGTTAATTATGTGCTGGGCAGGGTATGATCTGTCCCCATACAACTAATCCATTTCAATTCCCTCTTAGCTCAGTTGGTTATAGTGTCAGCTTTGGATTAGTAATCCAAGTTGGCCTGCGGTTTTGGGTTTGAATCCCATCCGTGGTATTTATTTAATTTATTTGCTCAACTAGGGCCCTGGCTAGAGCCGGGCAGGAAGACATCCGATGTTATGGCTACAGCCAAACAGGAAGTCTTTATCCTACCACTAGGGGTGGCGCTCCATACGGCACGATGGTTCCTACCATCGAGCCGAAACTCAAGCTGGAGTCGCTTCCGGAGTGGGACAGCGATCATGAAACTGCAGTCGACTACTTCTGGGATATCGGTCAAGTCGCGACTCTGCTGGGCTGGCTGCCTATGGCACTGGCGTACTGGTTACCTTCGCGCCTCAAGAAGGATTCGCAGGTTCATCTGTGGTTTTCCACGTTACCTGCCGAACGCCAAGCGGAAATGAGGACTCACTATACGGTGTACTTGCAAGTCATCAAGGACAGCTATCTCGGCAAAAAGTGGCAGCTGCTCATGAACGCAAAGTTCGAAGCGCAAGCCTTTCGACAAGATGGACACGAGAAGGAATCTCCGCAGGTATTCTTGGGACGACGTATCAAGTACGCGCGCCTCCTCACCAACACCGATGAAGGAGGCCCTATGAAAGTCTTCTTAATCATGCGGAAAGCCCCCATTTCTTGGAGCACAGTTATCGTCGTGGAGAATGTCAGTAACACTGAACAGCTTTACGAGCGAATCAACGAGCATGAGGAAGCTCTAGTAGAAGTCTTCAATCGGAGCTCCGGAAACGCGTTGACCCTGCAGAACTTACCGTCGACTCTCAGGCGGTTGGGCTTCGCTCAGACTCCATCGGCTGGTGCACGACCTGCAAGGCGAGCCAATTGGACGACGGCGGCGGAAGATGCTGCCCCTGTCGGCGAGTTAGACGCGACGCCAGTGGAAATCGCCGGAGAAGGAGGCTTACCCGAAGAGGACCTCACCATTCGGCAAGTCTACCAGACGCTGAAGCGAAAACAACGCCCTCCTCCTCCCGGCGGTTATCCATACAGCCGTAATGATCATGTAACGACCAAGATGGGCAAACCACCTCCCTCTCCCTGTAAAGTTTGCAGTAGTCCTAACCATTGGGACAAAGAGTGCCCCGACTGGAACGTGTACATTGAACGTCAAAAACGCGGCACCCTTCTGGTCGCGACGAGCTCCGCCGCTGAGGAGAGCGAGATGTTATACCACAGTGCGTACAGTGTACTGTTGGAGAGTCGCATCCCCCAGGGTTCTTTTTAGAAGCGGCAGTCCCGCCCGACGTCGAGGGAGCCGCATCGGCGGCGGGTACGGATAATAAGCCCGCTACGGAAGAATCATCAGTCAATGGAATTAACGAATCGGACACCCGCGAAACAGAGAGAAAGGACAACCCACCTCGAAGGAGGAGGAACGCGTTCTTCTCCCACATGGAGGAGATTGAGGACGAGTACTGGGCGGAAGATGCACGCATGCCCAAAGCTCGACCTGGGCGAATCATAGAAGGGGATGAGAGCTCAAGCGACGAGGAAGACGTGGAATGGGGAACTGTGTTCGACCGGACAGAGGAGGTCAGTGAGGAAGAGAAGCAGTCCGAC